ACTCTCTCCCATCGTTCAAATAAGCCCCTTTGGAGGATCTTGATAGCAGCAAGTAGTCTTTTGAGTAATTCCCAGAGATGTTCAATGAGATTCAGATCTGGAGGACTGTGTTGGCCATGATAGAACATTGATATCATGGTCTTCAGATCATTTTGTGGCCAGTTTTGAGGTGTGCTTGGGGTCATTATCTTGTTGAAAGATGATGTCTTCTTCATCAATCCCTGACTCCTGCATGTTTTTGAGTAGACCACTCCTCTAGAGTGGAGATGTACTGCTCTGCGTTCATCCTTCCTTCTACCTCACAAAGAATTCCCACACCATTCCATCCCATACAACCCCATACTATCATGTTTCCTCCTCCAAACTTCAGTGTACCCTTGACTTCTCTTTCTCCTAATGGTTCTCCTGCCTTTTTCCACACATATTCCTGGCCAACTGACCCCATTCTATTGATTTTTGTTTCATCTGACCAAATAACCTTCTTCCAGTCTTCCACAGTCCAATGTTGATGCTTTAAAGCAAAGGCTAGCCTTCTCTTCCTATGAGCTACAGAGAGAAGAGGTTTTTTCTTCTTGGTTACAGCCTTGAGACCTTGAGGGTGTTTCTAACAGTTTGGGTTGAGACAGGAGTGGAGATGATGGAATTGATGAACTTGGTAGCTTGAGTAGCATTTGAAGCCTTGCCAGATAGAATTTGGTGAACAATAGCTCTTTGTTCTGTGGAGTAAGCTTGAGAGGACATCTCATTTTATGATTTTCCTTCTCTGGCATGTGTTCCTTTATGACTGTAGCAATAGTGGACTTGCCAAGACCAGTTTTGAAGGCAATTTGCCTAGTAGATAAACCAGAGGTGCAGAGAACAAGGATATTATTCTTTTGAGCAGAGGAGATGGGTTTCATGATGATTATGTTGAATGTCATAATCTTATGTGGGTTTATATATTCAAATGATATTAAATCAGACCATATCAGTATTATGACACCACTTTAATCAAGAATATAATGTATGAATGGTCTGATTTTGTAATTTTAATAAAAAGTCAAAAAAGTGTCTGAATGAGTTATGTATTTGAAATTACCATATCTTGCTGTCACGAGTTCAAATACAAACCATTATTCGTTCCTTAATTCTAAGTCCTTTAAGCGCCCAGTCACAGTGTCTGTTCCTAAGAATATGTTTACTGTTGAAGAAGTTCCTATTATTGCGTCTATTGTAGAATTACCAGAGTCATGTGATCGATCGGACAATGCCGAAGATGTTGACGTCATGCCTCGCGACACTCTTGGAATGTTCCAGAGTCTTACTGCGGCTGCGGCACATGTTATGACATCATAGTTATATATAGAATTGTACGATACCTTTAATTATTCTGATTGGTTAGTTAGTTCATACTCAGTTTCGATCTCAGTTTCAATATGTGTATATAGGTAGATCGTCGTAGTCAGTAGTTCTTTAGTTCAAACCTCTTGTATCTCCAAGTGAGCAATCCAAGACGTACCTGCTGCCTTATCCTCTTTGTGATTATCTTGTTGTTTGAGTCCTAGTCTCTGCCCTGCATTAATTCGTTTAAGGGGTTGTGACACTTGCCCATATATGATTTGATTCTCATGTTGAATATCTCAAATTCGAGCCAGGATATAGGGCTTCTAGATGTGTCCCTATATTATTTGTTATTATTGAGTCCTGGCTTGCCATTGCCCAACTACTTGAAAATACATAAATATTCAGATACTTTTTTGAGCCACTGTATGTGCAGAAAGTACTGTTGGATGTCTGGCGGCTGTGATGCAAAGGGCCATAATGCTCCTGGACCTGCTGGTGAGGTACTACACCTGCACCCACCACCTGAAGCTACACCTACGTCATCCATTGCTAACCTCACTGTACTTGTCCTACCACCACCTGCCATCAACCCTGCTTTACTTATATCTGGCACCATACTTCATCCTCCACCACCTGTCATTGATCTAGCCTTACTTGTATCTGATGCCATACTTTGTCCTCCCTCACCTGTCATTGACCCTACCTTAATTGACACTGCATCATCATCCTCCTCTTAGGCTCCCATTGCCGGTCCATCTACACTACCTACCCCAAGCTAGGTTACAACAGGTAATGGAAAAGGCCATGCTACAGTTCCTGCACCTGATGTGGGTTTCTATTCTAATCCACGCCTCCCATTACAGCTACCACCTATCTTCACAGATGCATATGCCAAGTAAGAGGTAGAGCATCTGTGCAAGCATGAAGCACAGTCTCTCAAATGTGAGCTTGCCCTCACAGCACAGAACACTGTTACTGTATTTGGCTGGGTAGTGGTATGTTTTTTTTACTATAGCAATAAGAGTTTAATTTAGAATGTGATTAGGATGGAGAGATGCCTGCAGTCTGCGAGTTTCAAAGCAGAATCATTCTGCCGCATTTTAGGGTCACTGTGGAGTAGCTTCACAATCTTGGACTCTCCACTGATGATGGCTGTCACTACTTCAATGCGACGCAGCAATGCTGGAATAAAATATTTGTTGGTTATGTCCTTACCCTTCCAGGCAATCATGTCTACTTCAAGAACCTCAATGTCAAAGTTGTGCTTGACTTCGACAAGTATTACATCAATCGGCAGCCACAGACTATCCCTCACATTCATAACAACCTCAAAGGCAAGTGAGCCCATGTCCGCAATACTACCAGCAATCTTCATGTCAGCACCACTAGCTCTGATAGTGAACAGCAAACTGCTATATTACAAAAGCGGAGGCCACATTTCTCTTCTAATTATTCTCATCATCAATGCCGCATCAACTTGGATTCCTCTGATGATACTCTAGAGCTAGCACATGCACTGCCAGCAACTCACCCCATCCTTCATACTACTATCAAGCATGAGTGATCCTCTGATGAAATAAGCATCTCCTCCAATGATTCAATGGATGATGAGATGCAACAACCAGTCCCAAAGCCCCTTCATGTCAAGTGGGAGCCATCCATTGATGTCATTAGCATTTCCTCTGACTAAGCTGCTCCTGACAATGATAGGCCCTCTCCTGGAGTGTCGTATGAGTACCCGATTGAGGTTGAAACTACTGGCGTATTACCACTCTGGCTGCGATGGTACTATGCAGTTGACATCAATGCAGGTTCTATTTCCATGGAGAATGCAAGGAAGTCTGGTCACAGCGTCAAGGAGGCTTTTACTCATGTCTTTGGAGATGTTCCCTATCGCTCCCAGACTGTCAGTGATGATTGTATTTGCTGGCAGCAGGCAGGACCCACAGCAAGGGCTGCATTTATCGAGGCAGGTGCACTCCTGCTGGCTTATGGTCTGCATTTATGGCAGCCTATCCTGCCAAAGGTGCTGCAGAGAAAGCGGCGAAGAAGTGTCTTGCTCATGCACTGTGACCTGTGGTTCTCTTACTGTATACTATTTCTCAATACTTGGGCATTTGTTATTTTATACGCTGGTTATATTATATCTCGTACATGTCACACAATAGCCATCGCAATGTCATTATTTACCTCAGCAGGCCGCCTAACTGTGGAGATTGCTGACTCTCCAGCATAACATGCACATATGCTCCTTCCCTGCCTCTCCTCTCCACTCTTCTAGTATCCCGCTCAAAGACTTTCTAGTTTGAATGACACCGGCAGCTCCATAGGGATATTTGCATCTGATAGAGCTGGAGATGTTTGTTTAGTGCCTTCGTCATCCACGTCCATCATTTTCTCTTCACCATCTTCATCGCAGAATGCAGGCATAACTTGATACTTCTTGGCAACCTTTACAGCTGGAACACCTGTGCCAGTGTCATGAGCACCTATGCCACCAATATTACGGAGCATGCTGCTTGGACGACCATATTCAAGCACGGCACTGATGTGTGCTCAAGGAAGCGAGCGAGGGTCAGCGAGAAGTCGTCAAGTTGGATGTTAGTGAATAGCATGCCATGTAAAAGAACAAAGAATTTGGGTGCATGGGTGTCAGGTTACCACCGTCATTCTATTTTACAGTTGACTTTTGCCTTTCATCTTGCTGGTCATCCGCATTTATTTGCTGCGTCACTTATGCAAATAGTTCAGTTCCTCTAGGGTAGATCTGTGTGAGATCTTATGAGCCCAGCATCGGTTTGCTGTGATGTGCATGCATTGTGATGCACCGGTTGGGCACGACCCAGCAGATAGATGTTCACATCGGGGAGAGTACGCGCAAAATTTATGCCTTACTCACTGGAATTCTAGATGTTGTGGAAGGGTCAAAAGCCAGTAGTCTAGAGCATTGTCCGGACGTTGACCCTATCAAGGGTCTAGACTGGAAGCGCACATTCGGTTTACATCTGTAGTTCTCTGAGCTGATGGATGCACCAATATCACAGGTCTTTGAGTCCTACAACTGATCACGACAAGAATTGCCTTTTTGTGTCACCCCTCCACTCCCATCATACCTCAAGCACTCATCAGAACCATTGCCATTCAATGTTCCTACCCCATCACCTTCTGACACTCTCTTTTCTTTAATTCGCCTACATGCAGACCCTGCATGCTCATTATCACAGGCCCTCTCCCCACTCTCATTTGGGCCTTCACCAGGCGATTACTCACTCTCATGGCATTTCTTAGCGGCTGAGTGATGGTAAATATGTGCCTATGGGTCCAGAGTGCATACCCAGTACCCAGGACACCCTTGGGACGCCCAATGAAAAGTATATGGGTTCATCAGGATATCACAAAACAACTATCTACCCACTCAATGGCCAGTTAGCAGGACATCTGCCCTCCTTTTCCAGCTTTGCCCTTGTCAACCTATTCTTTGTAAGACCATCTCATCAAGAAAAAATCTATACCTGTGAACTATCATCTCATGACAGATGGCATGATATCCCCCAAACCAGACATTTGTCTGTTCTGTGACTGACGAATTGAAGTACCACCTGGCACCGTCTTCTCCAAGGAGATGTTCAAATGATGCAGGATTGCAGTTTTCCTGGCACCACCAGTCGGTAATTGCATGTTTGCAGTTGAAGTGGAAAACATCAACGGAAAGGCTGATGTCTTTGAAGTACACATCATCCCTGACAATCTTAGAGAGCATGCAGTTATTGTCATAGAATATGTGCTTTGGCTTGATGTCATCAGAACGGAATACATGTTTAATCATTTCCTGGATTATTTATATTAGCAGGCCATTTGTAGCGCTGACGATGCTCACATACCATGACACTTCCAACACCTTCCGGTCTCCCTTGCAAGTATCATCCTGCACGGGGCAACAATCAGTTGTTCATTATGCGTGCGCTAGCGCCCAAATTGTGCACGGAGTTTTCTACCACTGGCAGCAGTACTGTCCTGCGCTGTGGCAGCTTGCACAGTCCCATCAGCATCTACAGCAAGTGTGAAATCTTCCTCAAGTGGGGCATCATCGATGAGTTCATCCAATGGCACATCCTGTGCAATGGAATCTGTGGGATTTGCGAGTTGGGAATGCTGAAGACGCTGCTGAAGTTGGAAATGGCTTTGCCCCCAAATTTGGTGCATGTTCTTGACCGCTTTGTACTCTGCAAGGTGGAAAACCTTGCTCTTGATGAGGATGTCATTGCTACAGCCAACAATAGCACATTTGTGGCCATGGGTGAGTGTATGAGTCAGGCAAAAGTGATGGTTGTTGTTGTTAAGGGGCACATGGCAGTTATGGATAGCGCAGCACAGATGGCCAACAGTGACCCCATCAATAACAACAACAGAAAAATTGCTTATGACTGCTCCTGCATCGTCCCTAAAGAAGTGGGTGCGTTTGTTGCAGTAGTGTCGAAGCTCTTCTTGGCTGTAAGTTCGGATGTGATTGTTGCAGTTAATGATGGTGTCCATGAAGCGGGCCTTCTGGTCTCCATCTTGGGGTACTAACAAGACTGCATGGTGCTCCATGGCATCCTCGATCAGGGTGAGTTGTACAAACCCATGCCAGACATGATCCCCAGCAAGCTTGAAGTTCCATGGAAAGCTGGGAGGTGGTATGGAATTCTGCATCAGCGCTGAGTTATACAGTCATGCACAATTTGACATGAATGTCCTGGATGAGGCAGAAATCAGAAATATGTCAAATTGTCAGCCTGGCGTACTTACCATGAGACAAGCATCATTGTGCACCACAGATGAACAACCTTTGTCTCCACAAATTGATGTCCACCCACTTGCAGGACATCCAGGATCCTAGGATAGAATGTTTAAACACCTGCCTTGACACTAAAGCCGTGGTGGTAGTTTGTATTGCAGTCTGAATGTGTCATGATGATGAGAAAAAGAAGATTCATGCTAGATACATACTGGCACAATAGAGGTGGACAGAATATGTCGCAATAGGCCCATTATCTAGTGTGTAGATAATGACTTGTTGTTGTTCTGCCTTCTTGAGGACAGAGCCTTGCACATGAGCAGGACAGTTGCATGTCTGACATGTGTGATGAGGTGGAAAAAGAATGCATGGTGCTGTCAGTCATATGTCATCCATGTCAGTAATCTTCATACTAGCAACACCACTCACTTATTCCATGCTGTCATCCGTGATGCGCAAAGAGTGACATGTCTACATGACTTGATACACCTTCATTGCCATGCCACACAATGTTCCTAAGAACCTTCCAATATATATCCACATCACTCTCCGAAATATTGCAGCTGCCAGCCAGGAAAAGTTTGATCACAGGAGAGAGAACTAGAGGGGTACTATCAGGGTGATGAGAAGTAGCTTGCACGAGTATGATGTAATCCTTGAGTCCTGATGCAAGTGTAATGAAGTGAAATACCATGCTGAATGTCGGAGGTGAGCAATTAGGGAGCTGATGATGCAGTGATTGCAACATCTCAAGGGCTGATGATGGTCCTTGCGCAGTCATTTTGAGCAGAGGCAGGAGGTAAATGTTGAGCGGAGGTAGGAGGCAAAGGTCTAAATATAGTATTCTTGATGCTGTGTGCAAGGTGGCTGACAGCGAGGACGTGTGGGAAACAGTGAGCTTGATACATGATATTATATTGACATTAAATCTAATATATAATATATGTGATATGTGTGAACAATAACTATACAGACGCGGATGGGGGCAGGCAGTTGGATAGGGTCAGTGGGTCGAATTTTCCAGGATTAAGATATCCTCAGCGCAAGTGATCATGACACTGTGGACATGAGCTCGAAAGCAAATATGAACACTCAAGCTCAAGATGTGGAATGTATGACTCTCACTTGGCAAATAGAATGTGGAGAATAACTAGACGCAAATACGATAAACTCTGGCAAAACTGGCACAGCAAAGCGCAAGAACAAGCCAGGTCGTCCGAAGAAGAAGAAAGCCGCAAAGGAGACAGGTGTGTGCACAACATCATTTTTCAACTTGGTGTTTCACAGACAGTTTCTTTCTTTCCTACATACTTAAGTCTTGGTATGACTTGATCTTTGACATCTCTCTGCTGATCATTGTCTAGATGTACATATCTGCCCCACATGCTCCCACATGAGTGACATACTACCTCTCCATTTTCTTGGAGGCAGAGCTTCGCAAAGCCGAAAACAAAGGAAATCACTCAATTCATTCTTGCAGCTAACAGCTGAATTGCCATTCGATACTTTGAAGGCACAGTTACTTGCTCAGATTTTGGCAAAACTCAACCCCAGCAAGATCTCATATGACGACTATGACATTGTCTGGACCGTACCACGGATCCAACCATCTCCTTTGGCTCTTGCTTTGGACAGCGATTACAAATTTTTGCTTCAGCACGCCATAAAACACAAAGAGCTGCAGACAAATATCACCATCAAGGCTCGCACGAACAAGGTCAGTTATCTTTCCTGGATATATGCACATATTATGCTTGACTGACAAATGTTGTAGAAGAAAAAAATGAGGAAAGGTGAACCATCACGACAGGGATACAGACACAAGCTCTGGAGAGGATGATGTAGGTTCTGAGAATGAGAGTGAAGATGACAAGCAGCTGAAAAAGAAGCCAAAGAAGACTGTAAATATATTTGCCTTCTTACCAATGTTCTCATGCAGTGATTTACCTACAGTCAGCAAAAGAAAAAGCCAAGGTACTAGAGACTAACTTGAATATAAAGATCAACACAAAATTCAACAACTTTGTGACCATTGGATGTGTTTAAAGCCTGGATGTATGAGTGAGCTCTGTTTCATCCATGTAGAGCATCCTGAACACTTCCTGCTCAGACATGAGCATCTTTCTGTATGAGTGGCTACATGGGTATTCTTGTAGACTATTGTGAAATGATAATTTGCTCACTTCACACTCAGAACAAAGACAAAGCACAAGCAAATCTTGAGACTCCTCCAAACCATGCCAAATTCAATACACTCCCAGGGCAGAAGGGCACTATCTCTCTTCTTCAGTGTCACCTTGCTGAACATGCACAGCCTGCAAGTCAGCCTCATGGTACTGTCATCAATTTCAACATCCCATCAGAGCTTCTTGCTGTGTTTTTTCCCTCCTGCAGCTCCAAACAACAACATACCTCAACCTGCACCTGCTGGATCATGCACTGAAGGTGGTCAATCAGACTCTCTGATTCCCTATGGTATGCTGCATGGACCAACACTTTCCCTCAATGATTTCTATAGCAACTATACCCTCAGCGATGATATCCACATGAAGCTACACCAGAACAGGTATACAGGCATGGAGACTATCTGTTACATCCTTGTCTCAGAGCTGAAGGAAATGGAGTTCAAGCTGGGAGAGATTGCTGTGATGCGTCCAGCTATGAAGTGTTGGTGCAGGTGAATGGTTTCTTGTTATATAATCTACTTTGTGCTCTTTGTTAGTCTACATCACTGTATTGTATTGAGAGGAATTGTGCTAGAAGTACCCTGCATGCATAACATACCCAAGTGCATCTGATTCTGTTATCTGATCCATTGTGATGATGTACATATCATAGATAATCTCATCCAATTCTGTTGAGAAGTAATCCTGGTTGTGACGAATGAAAGCCTTGATCTTGGAGAATGCTTCCTCAATTGGATTCAAATCAGATAAGTATGGATGGAGATATTCGAGCCATACACCTCAAAACTATGTTGTGTGTCAATAGGGCTTATTATGCATCACATGTGAACTCATCTGCTTCATATACAAGATCTGCAACACTGTGACCATAGTGACATGTTGCATTGTCCATGACGAGCACACTAAGCTTCTCAGGGTATGGAGAGCATAGTGGTAGCTGGTCGAACTAATGAGTTCATGTTTCAGAGGTTGAATAGCACTTACAATATCTTCCTGAAGAAAGACCTTAAACTTCTCCACAGTGAATGAACCTTCAATTACTGAACATATCATCATTCCATCAATGGTGAGCAGGCCCAATGCAGAAAGGTGGTGTCCCTCGCACAAAGACTCCCTTCTTTGCTGCTCTTTTTCCCTTCTTTGATCTCTCAAACCTCCTTGAAGTTGTCCTCTCATCTTTGGATGTCTCATCTAAGAATCCAAGCTCCTCTGGGTCATACTATGCCATTCATCTAATGAAGTCAGCCCTTCGAGTCTCATTTCGTTCTTTTGCAATCTTCTTCAGCTTCATGCGAGAGATTCCTGCTTGGGAAAGTTCACAGTATTGTTGGAGTCAGATGGACATGGTCATGGTACAAGCACAGGAGTAAAAGTCTTAGTAATACATAGAAGGATGAGTAATGTAGGGAACAACTAATAACCGGTAATGTCCGAGATGGACAAGATTTGTCATCGACTCATGGACTATAGACAAGTCCATGCTTACATATACATAGACCGGGTACTTACATTTAGCGTACCTTAGTATATATACTGTAGTATATTTCGAATAGGAATTCAGTCAATTTAATTATCTCAAAGTCTTCATTCAAATCTGCACTAAATTTACAGGTTATGAGCCCTGCTACTACCATGGATATGATGCTCCCCAGCTCCTCATCGCTATATCATATCCCCCAGCTCTCTGATGATGGAAAGAACTAGATAATCTATAAGAAAAGGGCCCAAATGATGATACAAGCACGAGGTTTGATGTGCTATCTTGATGGTAGGACGAAGGAGCCTGTACCTTTCAAGATCGATTCACAAGGACAAGCACTGAAGCCAACCAATCAGTAGCTACCCAAATAGAGATTGAAGAACAGGAGAAGAAGGAAGACGAGTTTCAACAGAAGGACTCACTTGTCAAGTAACATATATTTAGTATGGTCTCGGACCAACTATTGTTGCACATCCAGAGCCTCTGGGAAGCCTCGAAGATCTGGGCAGAGATATGCCACATACACAAAGGAATGACAGAGATGGTGCAGATAGACCTGCGATGGAAACTGCAGGAGACCAGATGCGAAGAAGGCGGAGATGTGAAGACACACTTCGGAGACCTATTGAAGATCCAAGAATCATTAGCAAAAATGGGAGCAAGTATAGATGAAAGAGACTATGCTATTGTTATGGGATCACTACCAGAATCCTACAGACCAATACTCTCATCAATCAACGCAGCCGCACGCATCACGAAACAGCCACTTACCTCATATGAGTTGATGAATGTCATCACCGAGGAGTATGAGCACCAGCAGATAGCCCATCCCAAAGCTCCTAGAAAAGGAGGAAACAATGTGTTCTCAGCAAAGACAAATGAAAGGAAGAACAGAAATGAGGACATTACCTGTTACAATTGCAACAGGAAAGAACATTACAAGTCTGATTGCTGGAGACCTGGAGGAGGGAAGGAAGGACAGGGACTGTGTCAAGGACAGAGGAAGGGAGGACACTTGAATCAGACTGCTAACACAGCAGAAAGCAATGATAACTATGCCTTTGCCTCATCAGACCTTGCCAATGTTGCAAAACAAATGAACATACCTATGGAACACTGAGGAGCAATCATTGACTCCAGTGCAATGTCCCACTTCTGCCCCGATCACTCGAAGTTTATAACCTACACCTCCATCAAAGCACAAGATGTGCACACTGCAGATGGTTCTACCATCAGCACTATAGGGAAAGGGGACATAAGGATAGACTTACCTTGTGAGATGAAGAAGACCACTGTAACCCTCAAAGACACTCTATATATGCCAAAGGTGATGTTCACGCTAATATCGGCCAACAGGATCGCTACAGCTGGTTTCACAGTACACTTCGAAAATAGAATGTGCAAAATACTCACCCCAGTACCAGAACGAAAGACCATAGCCGAAATTCTGCAGATCAACGGACTATATTGAATTGAGTCAGCAGTAGCTCGCAAATGTGAAAGACAAGCTTATGTCCACTCACCAGATAACAGGAAGCTCAAGGTACAAGCGGAGGAGGCATTGTTTGCTGGTATAGATGAGGAAAGGAGGAGATATTGAGCATATTGGCTGGAAGAAGAACAAATTTCTGTCAAACGAAACATTAGTTTTGTCCCGCCAGACATCAATTTTCATGATGACGTACTGGACGAGGGGGAGTCTAGCCAGGTGACACAAATCAATGCACCAAATATTGTCCAGCCCGTCGCACAAACTCCCCAGAGTGCACATTCCCTACCAATTCCAATGATAATCAAAGCATTAGAAGCTGCACATCGAGAGCCGACATTAGATGAGGCCTTGAGAAGCCAAGACGAAGGAGCAATACACACACCAGGTGAAACTGAAACTGACATTCATATGATGGCATCTGCGCATCGAGAGCCAATACTGGAAGAGGCCTTGAGTGACAAAGATGATGCAGCAATAGAAAAGGAAGACATACCAGGCATTCATAGGCCATTGGCATCAGCCGCGCATCAAGAACTGGCACTGGATGAGGCCTTCAGCAGCCCAGATGCTGCAGAATGGCAGAAGGTGTTGACCTACAAAATCAACGCATTTGTGGAAAGATTCCATCTCAAGGATGCGAAGATGTAGCAGACACTCATAGGAATAGGGATAGGTTCTGATGAAAGAACAGTCAGACCATTCGCCAGGCACCAAACCTGAAATATCCGAACAACATGTACTGTATCAACAAGCAATTGGATCGCTAACACATGCAGCAAGCCAGCCACATAGGCATTTGATATCCAGACAGGTTGTCCAATTGCATGGGTTCCCGATTGCATGGCGCACTCAAGAACAGAGTATTGTCGCACTATCAACTACTGAAGCAAAATACATAGTGTTAGAATCAGCAGCACGCAAAGCACTTTACCTGGAAAACTCAACAAACGAGTTGTATGAGCCAATGAAGACAACCGCAAAGGTATACTGTGACAATCAAGGAGTTATAGCATTGGCATCAAGCAAGAAATTTCACAGACACACCAAGCATATAGACCTCCACTACCACTTCATCTGCGGCCTTGTCCAAAATGATATCCTCCAACTCCAATACGAGCTGTCGGACCAGAATCTTGCAGACACATTTGCAAAGGCACTGCCAGTACCACATTTTCAAGAATTGAAAGAAACAATAGGAATAAGCTGTGCTCGAGGGGGAGTGTTGGAGTCAGATGGTCATGGTCATGGTACAAGCACAGGAGGTAAAGGCTTAGTATATGTAGAAGGATGAGTAATGTAGAGAACAACTAATAACTGGTAATGTCCGAGATGGACAAGATTTGTCATTGACTCATGGACCACAGACAAGTCCGCGCTTACATACACAGACCGGGTACTTACATTTAGGTGTACCTTAGTAATATATACTGTAGTATTATTTCTAATAGGAATTCAGTCAATTTATTATCTCAAAGTCTTCATTCAAATCTACACTAAGTTCACAGGCACACCATAGTGAAACGAACAGAACAAGCTGGTTTGTTTGTCGAGTAGGTCAAGTAAACTCATCCAGGAACCAGTCAGGTCGAATGATGCACAAAGTCAAAGGAGGTAGGAACATCGTTGAAATGTAAAGTTTGCAGGCAACCAGAAATGCCATGAGTGTGAGGGACAACATCACCAGTCTCTCTCCATAATTTGCAAATGCGCCAGAAAGTTCTTTTAGAGAAGCTGACAGACATGGATTAGTTTCGTTTTGGACAAGGTGTTTTATTCTCAGAATATTGACCAATGCGACATGCAACCATTTGCAAATGTTGTAATACTAATTTAAACTAAACACTCTATGTTCGATGTACTTGATTCAGGATCTAACGCAATAAAATGAGTGTCCCCCGGCATAGCGGCGGGACCTCCTGCCTAAAATGGACCTCCCATCATGTAGATTGATCAACAAACCAAAATAAATATGATTTAACAAGTAGTCCTATCTTTTGCTAGTTCGTAAGGTGTGATTTGTTGTTTAGTGTCAAAACAATCTTCAAGATTGAGAGCGCCTTTCAAAGATATGATACTGCAAACCATTATCAAAAACTAACTATGAGCTCTGGTATATCCCATATTTCCCTCTCGTCCGACTCGGACCCTGAGATCGGTACGGTCCGATGTATAGATCCGCTTCCGATCCGATTTACGATAAGCTTTCTAATTCATTTCCTGTTTCATATAACGTTAAACACAGCCTATTCGGTATTTCCTCTTCCCGGTGTTTCGGTTATGCTTATTACCGGTATGATTACTGATCCGTTAACCTATGTCTCATTTCCGACTCGCGTTTGATAACCTTTGCACATGCTTCGTACATAGCCTCGGACCCTTGCTTACTGATACTTCCGTTATCCTCATAGTATATAAACTCGTGTATATGTCCTGTAGTACCTCAGTTCGAATATCATCTTAGTTTGTCCTCTTTCTGTCCTCCGGACTTGAGTTCTCCTTACTCTTGTCACTCTCCGAGACTTC